GTCCTTATAAGAAAATCCATCCCCTTGGGGGATGCTTCCAAAGTAAAGTGCCTTTCCTTGGTTAAGGGGACCAAAACCAGAGTTTCAGGTGTGATCTAACTACTGCCTCAAATTGTTTTAGCAAGACATTCTCATATTTATACTCCATTCTCTCTAAAACAAAGGCCAAAATTTCATTTGTCTTTTGTATTGCCTGCAAAACTCTGATGTTAGGTTTTTGGGGATTCATACACAAAAAACCCTAGTCCCTCTGTGCTGCAGCTTTCTGCATCTTTCTTCATTTAAATAAAATTCAGATCTTCTGTTCTTCCTGCTAAATCTGCGATAGGGTCAGGGTTAGCATAACCTTATTTCCCACATTATGCCAAGTTTTTATACTTTCACGTACCCTTTCCTTGTCAGACTCTCTGCGTCATCCTCATTACTTGCCTTCCTATGTGTTTTTGTGTCATCTGCAAGCTTGGCTATAATATTCACTTTCTTTATCCAAGTCATGAACATAAACTGTAAACAATTGTGGGCCTAGCACTGATCCCTAAGGCACTCCAATATTTACAGGTCACCATCCTGAAAATTCCCTCCTTATCCCAACTCTCCATCTCCCATTAGTTAGCCACTCCTCCATCTGCTAATATACTATCCCCAACACCATGGGCTCTTAAGGTAAGTAGCCTTACGAGCAGTACATTATTGAATGCCTTTTGGAAAGCCAGATATATTACATTTACTGGTTCACTTTTATCTATCTGCTCATTATGTCCTCAAAGAATGTAATAAATTTGTCAGGTGTAATTTCTCCTTCATGAAGCCATGCTGACTCTGATTTTATTAAATATTTCTAAATGCTCTGCTATAACAGCTTTTATAACAGACTGACATTCTCCCAATGATAGATGTTTACGAGCCCACAGTTCCTGTATTGTCTTTCTTTTGAAAAAGGGTATTATGCTGGTGGTTTTCCAATCATCAGATGTTCCCTGAATGTAAGGATTCTTGGAAGAATCCTATTGGCTATCTTTATAGCTACTTCCTTCAAAACTCTTCAAGAGAACCTTTTTAGCTAGGACATAAGTCCAATGAGTAGGGGTTCAATTCTGGATTTAGTCTTAGAAAAGAAAACTGGGCAGGTAGATGAAGTAGCAGTTAATGATCATTGTGGAGATAGTGATCATGATACATTTAAATGAGCATAATTAAGCACAAGGACAAAGACAGAAGAGGAGTAAAAGTGATATATTCGGTAAGTCAAACTTTATAATGTTGAAAGATCATGTGCCAAAAGTGGACTAGTTACATCAACTTGAAGGAAAGTCACTGGGAGATCAGTGAGAGGAATTCAAAAGCAAGATTCTACAGGAACAACGTAGACATGTCACCAAAAGGAACTGGTAAGGTACTGTCAAATCCCTGCTTATTCAGAACTACACGGGTTTTGATAAAGCAGAAAAACTAAGGTTCGAAGTTAGACCACACCAGGTTGTAGTCCAACAGGTTTATTTGAAATCACAAGCTTTCAGAGCACTGCTTCTTCATCAAGTGAAGGGGCCTGTTAGTGACTAACAACAGGGGGTGTGTAATGGCAGGCTATGTGGTAACAAAGCCTGGGACATGGGAGAGTTCAATGATTTTAGGGCCTAAACTCTCCACGTCCCAGCCCCCCACCCCACACACCAGGCTTTGTTATCACATAGCCTGCCATTACACATCCCCTGTTGTTAGTCACTAACAGTCCCCATTAACAACTATTCACCCTCCCAGCCTGATCGTTAGCAACTCCTTTGTCCAACTGTCTTTCTCTCTCTTCGGGCTCTATCCTATTGTTTACTCCCTACCCCACCCACCTCCCTATTTTCTGCATATAAACTGACGCTTTCCCAGCCACCATCAGTTCGGAGGAAGGGTCACCGGACCCGAAACGTTAACTGTTTTTTTCCTTACAGATGCTGCCAGACCTGCTGAGCTTTTCCAGCAACTTTGTTTTTGTTCCTGATTTACAGCATCCGCAGTTCTTTTGGTTAATACTTTCGGAAGCTTAGAAGAGTAGTGAAAGTACATGGGTGAGGTGAAAAAGGGAATTAGGAAAACAAAAAGAGGATTTGAAAATAAAATTGGTAAAACTGAGGAAAATTCGAAGATATTTTACAAGTACATTAAGCCAGAAGATGACTCTGGAAAGGGTTGGGCTTATCAGAGACATATATAGTAACTTGTGCGTGGAAGCAGAAGATGTGGGCAGGGTTTTTGATGAGTATTTTGACTTTGTCTTGATAAAGGAGACGGTTGTTGCAGACATTCTACCTAAAGAATGCAAAATATTAGATAAAATAAGCACAATGGGAAGGGTAGAACTGGAGGGACTGTCCTGCTTGAAGGTGGATAAATCACCAGGGCAGGACGAATTATATCAAAGGCTGTTAATGGAAGCCAGGGAGTAAATAGTGGATCTTTCAAGGATTTTCCAATCCTCACCAGATATGGGTGAGATAAGAGTACTGGAGGAATGGGAATGTTGTACCATTAATCAAAAAGTGTGAGAAGGATAGACCAAATAATTATAAGCTAGTGAGTCTGACCCTTGGTGGTAGACAAATTATTACATCAGTATTGACAGATACAGAAGAGACAAATTAATCAGAAACAGACAACATGATTGTGTTATGGGAAGTCATGCCTTACTAACAGTTGATTGGTTTAAGGAGTGTAGGAGGTTGAGGGGGCGACCTTATAGAAGTTTATAAAATAATGAGGTATAGATAAGGTTAACAGCAATTGTCTTTTTCCCTAGGATAGGGGATTTCAAGACTAGGGGCCACATTTTTAAGGTGCGAGGAGAGAGATTTAAAAAACATGTGAGGGGCAATTTTTTTTTTTTAACACAGGTGATTCTCATGTGGAATGAATTTCCTAAGGAATTGGTGGATATGGGTACAATTACAACATTTATAAGACATTTGGATAAGTAGTGAATAGGACAGGTTTGGGTGGGGGGGAATGGGCCAGCAGCAGGCAGGTGGGGCTGGTTTAGTTTGGGATTATGTTTGGCATGGACTGGTTGGAACGAAGGGTCTGTTTCCATGCTGTAAGAGTCTATAAGAAGTAACAAAGAGGCTTGTAGATGTTATAAATGGATTTTAATAGGGCATTTGACAAACCTTATGTGGCAGGTTGGTAAAAAAAAATTAAAGTCCATGCGATGCAGGGAAAGGAATGGTGATATATTTCCAAGTCAGGATGGTGAGTCACTAGGATAACTTATAGGTGGTGGTTCTCCTATATATATGCTGCCCTTGTCCCTCTAGATGGAAGTGGACATGCGTTTAGAAGGTGCTGTCTAAGGATATTCAGTGAATTTCTGCAATGCATCTTGTGGATTGCACACCATGCTGCCACTGCACATCAGTGGAGAGGGAGATATGAGGTGCAGAATTATGAAATTAAGAAAAGGGTTCTTAATTTATTGTAGATTCCAATGTTACAAAACATCAAATTCAATTGAACAGGATAGCAATTCAAATATTTATCCATTTTCCTTTTGATAATTGCTACTGAATCTGCTTCTACCATCTTTCCAGGCAGTGCGTTCCAAGTTACAACAATTCATCCCAGAAAGATATCCCACCTCCTCGGTTTTGCAAATTATTATAAGGCTTTGCCCTCTGGAGTACTGACCTTACTGTCACTGGAAATAACTTCTCTTTACTCTTTACTTAGGGCAGGCGCGGTGGCTGAGTGGTTAGCACTGCTGTCTCACAGCACCAGGGACCTGGGTTCGATTCCACCCTTCAGCGACTGCCTGTGTGGAGTTTGCGCATTCTCCCCGTGTCTGCGGGGGTTTCCTTTGGGTGCTCTGGTTTCCTCCCACAGTCCAAAATTGTGCAGGCTAGGTAGATGGACCACGCTAAATTGCCTGTAGTATTCAGGGATTAGGTGGGTTATAGGGATGGGTCTGGGTGGGATGCTGTGAGGTTCAGTGTGGACTAGTTGGGCCGAAGGGCCTGTTTCCACACTGTAGGGGTTCTATGATACTCAAAGCAGAATTCTTAATAATTTTGAACATATCTATTAAACTTCCTGTTAATCTAGTTTGCTATAAGGAGTAAATCCCTGGTTTCTCCAGGGATTGCTACCAAACTATTTCCCGTTGTAATTCCGTGCCTAGGATTCAGAGACCCTGGGGTGGGATTTTGGGGATTAACAAACGTGGTTTTTGTGGGGGGATAGGATTGACTTTCAATCATTAGTGGGAGGAGGGGTTGAGCATTTGCCATGCTTCTCTCCTTCACACCCCCATCTCCTTGGCTCTGTATCTTCCACCTAACTTTATCTACCATCACCTCTCCTTATGACTCCATTTTCACCTCCTCCACACCACTCCCAACTTCCTCCATCCTCCATTTTACCTTCACTGTTACCACCTATTACCTCCTCCTACATCCCTACACACCCACTATTTCCCTCTCCTTCATTCCATCCACCCCTCCATCGGGGTTCTGATACCCCCCAATCCCTTTAATTTGGGAAGCTCCAGTCTCTCCATGTAACTGAAGTCTCTCATCTCAGACTGTTCTGGCAAATCTCGTCACGTCCTCTCAAATGCCTTTAATACCTCTATCTTTTCTAAGCAGGAGCAATACCCAGAAATGAGCACAACACTCCAGCCTAACCAGTGTTTTAGAAAGAGTTAACATAATTTCTTTGATTGTTTAATGACATGTCTTCATGATTTATAAAAGAGTACAAAAATCACCCATTTTCTCCTGCTCCACTTCCATATCTCCCACCTCTGGACAAGTTGAGGTAATTAGAAAATAGAGAGCTAATGAAAATCACAGAAATGGCCAGCTTTTGTGGAGCCCTGCCCTGTGATGTCACAGATTGGCGAATGGGATCTGAATAGTTAGTGGCATCATGTAAGTAGCATGTATCAATACTGGAGCATTAACACAATATTTCACTATTACAGATACAAAACGTGACTGATGGATGAACAGATAACATACTTTGTCCACGCATGAAGTAATGGTTCTCTTTATACTGCCGATGCAGAAAGAGGCCACGTAGGAAGTTGCAGATCTCTGACCCTGTCAGGCGTGACACAAATAAATTCTTTACCATACTGTCCAGCATGCCCCCTGGAATTATTGTTCGCATTGCAGGTTGATTTTTTCTTGATTGTGGATTATCTGTATCAACAACATATTAGCATATCACTTTCAGATCAGGAAAGGGTGTGAAGTATAGTGTTACAAAACACTTTAACAAATGCATTCAATAACATGCAAGACAACAGATGCTTTGTACATAACAAATAAAAGCTTGTTAGGCACACTGAACTAAAGGGTTCAGATGATGTTCACAGACCATAAAAGCAGTGTTTCATTATTTATGAGCCTCATTATATCTTCACTGTTCATTCCTAGGCATTCTGAGACAAGTAGACATGTGCTTATAAAGTTATAACAGTGCTATCTGGTGCGACAATAATAACTTGCACTTACACTAACTCAATAAAATGTCCTAAAGCATTTCACAAACAAAATTTGACACAGCTAAATATTTCGAGAGGGAATTCCAGATTTGAGAGTGCAGTCAACTGAAGTCAAGCTATCAATTAGCAGAAGAATCAAAATTAAATCTGAACAAGAGGCTCAACCTGGAATGATGCACAGATCTTGGAGAGTTGTACACCTGAAATATATTGGATCGATAGGTACGGGCCAGGCTATGGAGAGATTTGAAGACAAGGATGAAGAATTTTAAAACGGAAGTGTTTCTGGACTGGGAACCTATTCAGTGAACACAGCAGAAACAGGTGAACTGGAAACCAGTTGGAATACATGCAGCACAGTTCTGGCTGAACTGAAGTTTACAGAGTGGGAGACTGTCCTGTACAGGTTGTTACTTCTAAACTTCACTATTCTAAAAGACATGATGAAGGGCTGAGCAACAGAGAGGCTGAGGCAGGGGTAGAGACATGTGATGTTACAGAGACGGATGTGTATAATCTTGGTGTTGGACCATTAACTCAGGATCAAAAACGATACGAAGCTTCGAGCGTGGAAGTAAGAAATTAAGAAAGGCCCCGGGATATTCTTGCGAACAGAGATAATGCAAGAGCAGAAGAAAAAGAAACTATTGGAAGTGAAATTCTTTCTATGCTTAGATACATAAGAATGGGATTAACTGGACGGTGGTAGAGACAGCTTGGAGAATGACGACGTAGTCAACTATGTCAAAGGCTGCAAACAGATCGAGACGAAAAAGGGAAGTTTATCCTTATCACAGTCACATAGATGTTGTTTAAACCTGAGTGACAAAAAGATGGACATGCATTTGTGAGGCGACATGTTTAAGGATTCTGGAGACAAAGAAGGTATTTTGCAAGGACACTGGAATCAAGGATGGATGTTTTTGAGACAGTGTGCAATGACAGCAGATCTGAAGGGAAGGGGAACAAGAGTCAACCGGTAACATTCGCGAAGGAAGATGGAGCTGAGTTGGTGAGTTCAGTGGTTAGCAGGTTAATGGAAATAAAGTTGAGGGAATAGCAGGTGGACAAGGAGGCTACGAAGGGCATGCAGGAAATAGGAGAGAAAAATCTGACTTCAAATCTAGGACAGTGGTGTAGTGGATATTGTAACTGGCCTATGATAAGGCTCTGGGAGACTGGTAACGAAATAAGAATTTCATGAGTTCCTCCACTTATCACAGAATGTTTAGAATCCTGGATTGGTTACAGTGCACAGGCCATTTAGTCTTGCATGGGTCTGCAACAGCAATTCACTGAGTGCCACCCACCTTTCCCACACTGCCCTCCAAATTTCTCCTCTTCAACTAATAATCTGTTTGTTGGAGGTGAGGGCAGAGGGGACAGGAAAGAAGGGTTTGCAATGTGTCAGACAAGTCCTCGTTGCATTCCAGAAAGCTGCTGGAACAATGAGCAGTTTTAGCCAAGGAGAGTTAGAGGAGGAATTCAATCCAGATGAGTGTGCAACGATCCACTTGGCAGGAAAAACAAGGCAAGGGAATACATGATGAATGGAAGGTCCTGGGAAACATTTAGGATCAGAGGGACCTTGGTGAGCACGACCACCTGTTCCTTAAGGTAGTAGGACGGGTAGACATGGCATACCTGTCTTTATTAGCTGAGGCATAGCGTTTAAGAGCAGGGAGGTTTTGCTGGAACTATATAAAATGTTTAGGCTACAGAAAGAATATTGTGTGCAGTTGTGGAATCCACCTTTTTAGGAAGAAAGGGTACTGGAAAGGGTACAGAAAAGATTACCAGGATGCCACCCGTGCTGGAGAGTTTGTTATGAAGTGAGACTGAACAAACTGGGGCTGTTTTCCTTAGACAGAGGAGACTGAGATGTATAAAATTATGAAGGGCATAGATAAGATAGACAGGAAGAAACTTTTCCCCTTGATGGAGGTATCAATGACCACAGGACACAGATTTAAGACAATAGGTAGAGTAAATGTGAGGAAAACCTTTTTCACCAGAGGGTGGTGGGAATCTGGAACTCACTGCCTATAAAGGTGGTAGAGGAAGAAATCTTCGTACTATTTAAGAAGTATTTAGATGTGCACTTGTGATGCCAAGGAATACAAGACCATGGGACAAGTGCTCGAAAATGGATTAGAATAATTAATTTTGACCACTGAAAACTCGATGGGCTGAAGAGCTTCCTGTCAGTTTTGTAGATTTCTAATGAAAACAGGACCTGTGGTGCTTTAGGTGATCCTACCAAATGTGAATGTCTGAACCAGCTGTAAATGCTGAAGTCTGAGCTTATTGAACTTAAGGGAGCTGAGGTCAGATGGGTATGAATCTTTTTAATTCACTTGTGGAACACTGGTGTCGCAAGCTAGGCTAGCACATATTGCTGTTCCCCAGCTGCCCTCGAGAAAGGTGGTGATGTTCCTGAGTATCTGCTGCCCCTTTCCTTCGAGACGGTAGTGGTAACTTAAGGATATTTGGTGAATTTCGGCAGTGCATTCTTGTAGATAATACACACTGCTGTTTCTGAGTGTCAATGGTGGACAGAGTGAATGTTTGTGGATGTGTTGCCAATCAAACAGGTTGCTTTTCCTGGAGGATGTCAAGCTTCTTGAGTGTTCTTGGAGCTACATTCATTCAGGCAAGCGGGGAGTATTCCATCACACCTGATTTGTGCCTTGAAGATGGTGGACAGGCTGTGGGGAGTGAGGTGGTGAGGTACATGTTGCAAGTTTCCTAGCCTCTGACCTGCGCTTGTAGCCACCATATTTATATAAGTAGTCCTCGTCAGTTTCTGGTCAATGATAACCCCCGGATGTTGATCATGGGGGAATTTAATGCTGGCAAAGCCAATGAATGTCAAGGGACTACGGTTAGATTCTCTATTTTTGGAGGTGGTTATTGCTTAGTGTTTGTGTGCTGCGAATGTCACTTGCCACTTGTCAGCTGAAACCTGTATGTTTTGCTGCATTTTAACATGGGCTGCTTCAGCATCTGAGGAGATGTGAATGGTGCTGAACATTGTGCACTCATTGGCAAGCATCTCCACTTCTGAATTTACGTTAGAGGGAAGATAATCGATGAAGCAGCTGTTGTTAGACGAAAGAGCTCCTGCAGAGATGTCCTGGAGTTGAGATGACTGACCTCCAACAACTGCAAACATCTTCCTGTCTGCTAGGTATGACTCCAACCCAACAGAAATTATGCCCCAATAACCATTGATACGCAGTTTTGCTGGGGCTCCTTGATGCCACACTTGGTTGAATGCGGCCTTTATGTCAAGGGCTGTCACTCTCACCTCACCTCTGTAATCAAGCTCTTTTGTCCATGCTTGAACTAAGGCTGTAATGAAGTCAGAAGCTGAGTGGCCCTGGAGGAGGATACAATGGGGCATCAGTAAGCAGATTTTTGTTCAAGCAGGTGCTATTTGGCAGCACTGTTTGACATCTTCCATGACTTTACTAATGATTGAGGGCAGACTGATGGGACAGTAATTGATTGAGTTGGATTATCCTGGTAAGATCAGGAGCACACTACTATTTTGGAATGTTGTCAAGGCCTAAAGCCTTTGCAGTATCCAATGTTTCGAGTCACTTTTTGATATTATGTGGTGTGAATTGAATTAACTGAAGACTGGCACCTGTGATGCTGTAGGGTTTCTGGAGGAGACCTCTGAAGAGCCTCAGGATGAATGTAAGAGACAACAGCTTTTTACTTTTGGGACTATAGACTGAAAATAAGAAAAAGATGGATGCTGCTTTAAAAACAAAGGAGGAAATGGCAAGAATTTGTTTGCAGCTTTGGAAAAATCAAGTGGAGCTAACTGATGTCTATGCAACAATATTAATTTTGGGAATACTGTGCTCAGACAAAGCAGCATCACCTGTCTGTGTTCAGGAGAACTCTGCTCAGACTGTCTTTTGATTTGTGTTTCAAATGCCACTACTTGTTATGGGTTCAGGAGAGCTTAGCATAGTAACAAGCCTCTTATTAGCCGAACTGCAGTTTAACACAGGAATCTGAGGGGAAATAAAAACAGAAGACAACACAGGGCCCAGAAAGTTATAACCTCGGCATCTCTCTCTCTCTCCCTTGCTCTTAAAAAAAAGCCTCGCTAACTGTGTTGAAAAAGTAGAGAAAACTTACTCAGAGCTGCTGAAAGGAAGAATCTGAAGTTTACTGAGAAAAGAAAAGCCTGGGTCCAAACAAGAATCTAGTGAACATCATGGGTGTACAGATAACGTCCAGGGATCACTGATGAATCAAAAGGATTGCGGAACCAACTCGTCTAAGTTTTGTGTTTTTGGACTGATGTTACAGAACTGTGCTCCCTTGACTTTTCTCCTCAACAAATAATATGTTTTATGTCTTTTTCTTTTGCGTCGGTTTGGGGGTAAAGTTAAATATATTAAAAATCCTGTTCTTGTTAAAGAACGTTACAATAAATCGTTATTTTTAATTATTACTGAAAGAACCTGGTATAATTTGCTTCTTTCCTGGGTAGAAGTTAATGGGGCAAATTGGGATTTGTAGTAGTTTCATTTGATTTAACGTTTGTCAAAATTCAGAGAATAGTGGGGCTTGATTTCCACCGCACTACCTAAATGACAAGCAGCAAAGGATTTACTGGAGAAAAAGACAAATGTTTCCCATTCAGGTCATAAGTCTCATGATTTACAAGTCATTCTGTAGCTCTCAGAGAAAGATGTCTCACATCTTGATCAGTAGCTTTGCACAAATGGTAGGGCTAGCAGGGAAATTATTGGCTGTTATAAAACAAAGAAAAAAATGATTGGTACCTGTTGTTTTAATAGCATCCTGCAAGTTCTGCATCCATGTGTTGGAAGCGCCCATCATCTCCCTCAGGATCTCCTCCAAATTTGCTGCAAAAGCACTACCCCACTGGCCTGCAGAGGAGGAGTACAGTCATTTTCACAGTATCTCTTATTCTAACTTATTAGATCCTTTATCTCCACCCGCGTGTAAAGAGATCGCCACACACAGTGAGTGGGCAGCCAAGGCTACACAAAATTCCTGCCAATAGTGTACAATCATTTCGTTCGCCTTCGAATCAACCCCGTTCCCAGAGCGTTGAGTCACCTCCATACAAGTATAAAAGTAGAAACTCTCCCACCCAGGGTGTACCTATTCCTTCTCAGGTTTAAAGTACATGTAGCGGTATATTAAACCCTTCAGGAACTTAGTCAAGCAGGTATTCCTAATGGAAGAGATTACCTGTATGTCAGAATGAACTTCACATTCTCAGTCTGGGCACTGGATATGGATCAGGAATGAGAACACAAACATACTGCTCCTCCAAGCCTGAAATCTAACCCATTCTGGGGTGTCAATTCCAATTTCATTAGCCCTAATCTTACCTATGATAACTAATCCAATACAAATCAAACCAACATTATACAAACACAAAACATATTACAAATTACTTCCCCATATGAAACCAGTACTCTCCCTGTTGAGAGTTTGGGCCTGTTAAAGATAGATGCATAATAATGGACATTAGAAAATGGCAGATTTGTTAAGTTGTTTTGTTTTTTTCACAAGACAAGATGATGACTAAACCCATTGGGAATATAGAAATATGTTAAGGAGTAGGAACCTTTTGGAATTAATAGAGAAAATGGTAACTGCCAGCCCAGGGTATTAAAAGAAACACATTAAAAAATTGTAGATGGCTTTTACAAAGCTTTGAACTGTGACTTTGAATTAGAAACTGTTACTGAAGCTAAAGGTAAAATCAAGAAACAAAGTCTCACCATTTAACTAGCTCAAGGGGTTAAGCAAACTAACTTATTTTTTTTCCTACGTTTTTTTCTTAACCAACTATAATACATACTTCTCCAGAGAAGCCATGACTCCAAATGTAACTTGTAAATTTATATGCAGTGCGATTTTTGGACTTCAGATCTGGTTGTTAACTGTACCTTCCAAGAAGCTGATTCTCATTTCTGGACATTTCTTTATCAGGTATCCCATGAAGAATTTGCTTCCAAAATGCTGAATGGGGATGTAAGCTCCATATTTTGGAATTCCAGCTTCATAAGGAGTGCATTCAAACCACTCTGCAAAAGACCGAAGATTCTGCTTCATGTTGGCTGTAGGTCTCCTTAATAGAATCATTACACCATTTTCATATGGTACACAACTTGAAGGACAATTTTCACACAGTCTGCAGCCCCATGACACTCCGCTTGTGAAGTGGCAATGGCTAAACATCAAGGCGATGTACATGAACATCTAGGAATAGCACAATTTTCACCTCAAATACTTATAGGCACTGTTGCTGTAACTCTGCAATTAAGTGTATAGCTCAGTCACTAATGATGCCTACTTAAGAAACGTTACTGGAATCTTCTCAATATTGTGTAAATGTTGTCAGGGTATCCTTCTGATGGTATGATGGGATAGGCAGATGTATTGAGGCATAATTCATTATAAAAAGCTTGAAGTATGCAGTACATCAATTGCTAGCACCCACAACAGGAAAGGTACCTAGCTAACAAATGCATTCCCCTACTAAATCAATACAGCTCTCTAAGCAGACATTCAACATACCCCAAAACAACAGGCGGTCTCTCCAAATGAAAAATCCCACCTAGCACCCAGTACCTAGACAAAGGTACAAACTCTAAACTGACATGTTCTCTATTTGAAGGCATCTATTGAGTTACAGGCCAGACATTTCTGAATGGAGATGATTTTCAGCCTCCCTGTTCAAACTTCCTGAATGCAGCCACTTAAGAACATATCTTGAGGTTCACTACCAAATTAGGGGCATTAGTTGGCTTAAAGATGCAAGAGATTGACTTTGCATGTGACATTGCATTGGTGCTAATCAGCCTTTGCTGTGCCTGCAGTAAGAGTGTTACGTAGGGGGATACAGCAGGAACAGAGAGATACAACAGATGCATGATCAGCATCCTTAGCACTATCGGAGACATAAGTTTGTCATTTTCTGCTTTTAAACGTTAGGAAGCCTTGAACTTCCACACAGCTCTGACCTTCCATGATATTAACATCGCCTCCAAATTCCCAAGGCACTGCCACAAATGGTGCCCATGTATCCACTGGGAAATTGCAATCTCTGTGACAGACTGAAATTAGCTTGCCGATTATCCAACTCAAGCTGCTGACTGAGTGCTTGCCAGTATCAGTCTCAGTCCACCCCTGGGAAAAGCAGCCAGAGACAGGAATAGATTATCAAATTTTTGATATCCCCCTCTCTCCAAAGGACTGGTAACAACACAAGACCCCCCACAATATCTGTACCTCCAAAATCTCGAGCGCTGAGGTCCGACCTCACATTAAGACTGGCATAGATAGGAAAAGGGTTCTGTCCCCTCCTTACAGCTCTCTGCTGGTCTGACAGCTTGGTTTTATTCTCCTAAATACAAAGATATTACTTTAAGTATTTTACATTTTTTCAGCAAAGAATTTTATATACCCTCGCACACACGCACAACATTTAAAACACTAGAGCCTTCATTCGGCAAAAAGCAATGAAATTTCTATTGACAGTGAACATTTTTTGGGTGGATTCATATTCAGAGGAGAACGGCAGTAGCTTAGCAACAGTTTGAGAAGTTGGGGATCAACACACAACACAGTCAGTGTTGTTCATGCAAGAGCCCGGGGTCAATCATCTACTATAAAATGGACAGGTTGTGTGAGACACTTTTTTGTGGAGTCCTACTGGAGCTTTCTGATGTGGAATGTGATACACCAAAACGATTGTCATGACCTCCCGAGCTGATTAAACTAATTAAAATTGAACTACCACAATCCTCCGAATGCAGAGACAGTAAAAACTGTTTTGATGCAGGCAGAATATATCAACACTGGGTGGCCTGATTGACTGACATGTGCAAACCTCAAGTGTCTCACACAGGAATGCCTTCTGAAGAAGCACATACTGACACTGTTAAATACATCTCATCCCTTAGCTCATGTGCAATTATCTCCAGAAAGCACACTGCAGGTGCTTCTTGGTAATACCAACTGCAAGATTTAGTGCAGGAGTACAACGCTTTACTGGGGCTTTCCAAAGAACAGCGTGATAAGCCAAACTGATTGCCATGAGTTCCCACATTGATTAGACCATTGAAAGTTGATCTCCCATTAATAAGAATTTTCTCTGTGTCAATTTTGTAGCACTGCATTAACTGTTACCGTACTTCACTTGGGACAGTGCCAATTGCAGGAAAGGTGTAGGAGAGCAAAAATCAACAATTGCAAAATTACTGAAGTGCAGGAAGCTGGGAAAGGAGATCATCCAATTGAGGATTCTTTTCAATCAACATTTGAAGAAAGAGGGGCATAAAATGCAGTGTTCTTCCAGCTGGCCATGGAAAAAGATGAAGAAGGTGGAGGAAAATCTGCAACAACCACCTGGGACTGTACACCACCGCCGCTGTGGCAGCTTCTGTGGCAACAACCTGATCTGGTTACAGGTGTGGCAACCCTTGACACCTGTTTGATCCAATGGACCAACAGGCCAATTAGTTAAGTAGATAAGGAAATTTGGACATTTATGATAAGGTGACGATTTCAATAGCCATTCACATATGTAGATCATAGATAAATGCAAACTCATCTGCTAAGAATAAGCACGCACTGAGGTTTACTCATAATTAAGCAATTGTTATACAAGGTAACACTACCTACAGTTTGATTAGAATAGACCTAGGTCATGTCATTCTTCCTTTAGTTCAACAAAAACAGATCTTTTAATGGTGTCCCATCTGGTTGCAAAGGTGTCTTTGTAACTTGCTTTTTATGCTGAAGTTTAAAGTAAAATGACCAAATCACTAATTTCATTACTGCTCAGGTGAACAGCAAGAATGTTACATAGTTAAAGCCAGACAAAAGCAAAGCTTTTAGCTTGGATAAGGTGACATTTCTGTAGTTCAGGCTCCCAATGCATTGCTAAGTTTCCATAGTCTTTAGTGCACTGGAAGAATGAAGGAGGACAGCAAGCGATAGAAATCCATGATATCCAGCTGAGTTCAAAGACCAATTGCACGAATAGACTTACTCATCACTAACTTCCTTCCCTTAGCTTTATCTAAACAAGGCATATGACTACCATAAGGTTGATCCCACCTCTAGGACATTGACTAAATGGGCCAATGCCAACAACTGCCTTCTCTCATTGATTGTTTTGTCTTTTGTGTTACAAATTCACCTCCATTGGCTAGAGGTTCTGAATGGCTTGGGTAAACTGAATATATCTTCTGCACTAGTACACAAGCTGCGCTGGGATGATATGAGAAAGACCATTCTTGGTG